GCGCATGCGCACATAGAGTGGGGGGGCGTGTGCACACACACACACACACACACACACACACATATATACAAAACTAGAGAAATTACTAGAAGGTTTCGGGGTAGATGATCATGAGCAGGAGAGTCCAGAGCCTGGTACTTGTTGCTGGCTGGGTAGAAGGTGATTGAGTCAGAGAAGCAGGTTAATGCAAGATCAGTTCCTGTTTTCTCATCACAGTTGTTTAGATGCAAATGGAAATGCTGAGCAAGTCTGAACTTAGGGGTGAGATCTGGATTGGGCATGTAGTTGGAGAATCATTTTCTCTTTGCCTTTTACTTTCTAACTTCATTGAAGTATTGGAGACCTTTTCTTCCTCCCTTCCTCCCTCCCTCCCTCCCTCCCTCCTTTCACCTCTCCTCTCCTCTCCTCTCCTCATCTATGCCAGGACTAAGGCTTAAATGCAGGTCTGAGGGCTCTCCTTTAGCTTTGTTATTCAAAGCTGGCACTCTATTGCTTGAACCACAGCTCTGCTTCCAGCCTTTTGCTGGTTAATTGGAAATAAGAGTCTCAGGCTAGTTTTGAACTGTGATCCTAAGATCTAACCCTCAGAGTAGCTAGGATTACAGGCCTGAGCCACTGGCACTTAGCATGAGCAATATTTTCTGAAGAGATGGTGATGAAATTTATGCCATTGAATGAGATAACTAGTTGTGTTGATGCAGGAGAGAAAGAACTGAGAATCACCAAAATTTAAAGAAGGTAGGAGAGGAAGGTATAGAAAAACACTGAAAAGGGACAAAGTCAAAGAACAAACAACAGAACACAGGGAAGGAAGCTAGAGACAGCTGGGCAGGAAGAAAGGTGTGTGTGTGTGTGTGTGTGTGTGTGTGTGTGTGTGTGTGTGTGTGTGTGTGTGTGTGTGTATGCGCGTGTGTGCGTGCATGCGCACGCACCAGGAACAAGGCTTGAATTCAGGGCCTTTAGCTTTTACACTTAAGGATGGCATGCTACCACTTGAACCACAGCTCTACTTCTGGCTTTTTGGGAGTTAATTGATAAGTCCTGTCCGGGCTTGCTTTGGACCAGGATCTTCAGATCTGTCTCCAGAGTAACTAAGATTACAGGCGTAAACCACTGGCATCCAGAAAAATAACGCTGTTATGTTCTAAATTGGTGACTTTTATTTTCTCTGAGAAGTGGGAGAGAAAGTTGTCTGATTTGAGGGCAGGATTCCTTGAGCTGTCTTTCAGCAAGATGTAGGAGGCAGAATGAGATAATTTATGTAACCCACTTTCAACAAGGCCTGGCCGGAACGAAGCCCTCAATACTGGTTGCCCACTATTATGGCTTATATAATGGTACCAAATTGCTCAGCTTTATGGTTTTTCTTCAACAGTAAGCACCTGGGGTATAAGCACCAGACATTGGCAGATGTATTGGTTTGGAGAGGGTTTTTGTCAATAAGAGAGATGGAAGAATTAGGTAATTGTGGATATTGGCAAGAATGTTCTGTGGAATATTAAATAGATGAAAAACAAACACAAACAAACTAGGTGCTGGTGGCTCATGCCTATAATCCTAGCTACTCAGGAGGCTGAGACCTGAGGATCAAGGTTCCTAGCCAGCCCTAGCACTAGCCTTGAACCCAAGAGCTCAGGGACATCACCCAGGCCCTGAGTTCAAGCCTCAGGACTGGCACAAAAGGCAACACACTGTACCCAATTTACAGAGAAACCTCCCCGACCCCCTTCCCCCCACCCCAAACCATCAGACACCCTGAGCCAGGATCTTTGTTGGGTCCCAGTGACAACAGTTGTTGGAGAGAGGGCCGGTTTCTTTCCATGCTTTTCTAGGCTCACCCATGGCGGCCCTGTGGTGTATCTCCATGGCGATGGAGCCAAGGCCGTGGGCATTCATTCAGTGGACACTGCACCCCGCATGCTGGCCACTCTCCCGGCCACCGCTCCGCAGTGGTCACGCTTCTCTCCTGCAGTTTGTACTTCGCCGACATGTGCTAGGACCGGGTCATCTGTAACCTTCCGGGCGCTGCCCGCCTGAGCCCCGGCGGGCCTGCTGTCCCTCCCCTGCGCCCCTCCGGCTCCCGGGCGGGCTGGACGGCGCTGCCCTCAGCCTTGGCTTGGTAACCCCTATTTCTGCCTCCATCCTCCCACCACTCTTGCCCCGCGCTGGCCCCCGGGGTCCTCCAGGGTCCGTGTGAGGCCAGCGAGTGGCCAGCGGGCAGGGGCCGCTGTGGGAGATGCACGCCCTGCATCTCCCCTTTTCCACTCCTCCTGTGCGTGCCCGGGCTAGACCTGGGTTACCATTTCCTGTGTGCCAAAGGTTGCCATGGCCACACACACGCAGGGCACTAAGACATCCGCTCACCTGGCCTCGCCTGCCTAGAAGCTGCTCCTTTTTTTTTTTTCCTCTTCTCTTTCGTTGCTAGTACTGGGGCTTGAACTCAAGGCCTGGGTGCTGTCCTTTAGCTTGGTGGCTCAAGTTTGGTGCTCTACCACTTGAGCCACGCCTCTACTTCTGGCTTTTTGCTGGTTCCTTGCAGATGAGATGTTCACATTTTCCTGTTTGGGTTGGCTTTGAGCTGAGAGCCTCAGATTTCAGCTTTGGGAGTAGCTGGAATTATAAGTGTGACCACCAGTATCTGGCAAGCAGCTTCTCTTGACTAGTGCTCAGTTGAATGCCCAGAGAAGCTGCTCAAACAAGAAGTTTGAGCGAGGGCCAGGGCTGCCATGGGAGCTCTGTGGAGGCTCCACAGAGAGGCGGGTGCGCAGTTGGGTAGTCTGGCATGGGGGTGTGTGGGGGGCAGTCTGTGTGCGGCCTGGACCTGTGGTGCAGCGTTCTCTTACCCCAAGCCCCACTCTACGCTGGGATCAGGTCAGACCAGTGCTTTCAGGTATGGCTTGTGTGGCGCCAGAGACCTGTGAGGCCTGGTGAGAAGCACAAGTTCCCTCTCCCCCCTCCCTCCACTCTCCTCCCCTCCTCCCCAGTGGTCAGTGTCCATCTTTCTCTGGGTCCTCTGTCCTCCATTCCTACCTTCACCTTAAACCCAGTATGGGTGTTCCAATGCTACCACAGATTTGGGGTGTAAGGTATGAACAAGGAAAAAAACCCAACAAGCACACACATTTTGGGAATAAGAAAGCATTTTCCATACACTTTGGGTATTAGCCTAGTGGAGATTTCTGAATTCCAGCGGCAATGGGAATGTGGCAGGCAGGCTGCTCCCGACAGAACTCAGTGGTCAGGGCGATGTGTACAAAGTTCAGCTGTATTGTTAGAACTCTGGTTGTAAATCAGGAACAACTTTCTTTAGGGACTCTCTTGCCACTTGATTTAGTATTTCCTGGCATTTTGCCTATCACAGAATGAAGCTGTGATTGCTTCCTACACAAAATCTTATCTACAAGACATCTTGCCAGAAACCTATAGAAGACCCATAATCTATGGCTGGCCTTTGTATCAAGAATAAATCTGACAATGGGCCCTATTGTTATGTTGGACAATATATCCCATGAAATAGCTTCCAAATGAAAATTAAGTTTACACAGAATTTTACTTAGCATTAATTAATTAAAGTACCTGTTAAGAATGAGCACAAAGGGTATGGCGCTGGTGGCTCAAACCTGCCTCTTAGTTGAAGGCAAAAAATGGAGCAAAATACTCATGGTGATATATGAGAACTATCCCCAGCAGCATCTGCACTGACATGTCCTGTTATGACACAAACAAGGACGTGGTGGAGGGGCTGTGGAGGGGCTGTGGATGTCAGCCATACAACCCACATGGCCAGGGGTCCTTTTGGATTAGCCCCAGAAGGACTCTCTTCCAATCTCTTCCTTTTCTCCCCTGGGTCCCCTGGGCGGAGCTTTGCATGGCCCTCCCGGCCCTCCCCCTGCCCTCCCCCCCCCAAACAGCACATAGAGGAAACCATCAAGTTCAAAGGAAGCGCTCACTCTGAGGACCAGAGCAAATATTTTCCTAGAAACCTCGTTGTCTGTAGGAGACGGGAAATTTGTAGATCGCTTCTGCTGTGTGTCAACTTCAAAAGGACATGTCTTCTATGAAATCTGAGCAGACTCAAACCAGCAGGTTAGCAAGGACCATGGGGGAATTTTCCTAAAATAATGTTCATTGTGAACATTGAATGGAAGCTGGGCTATTCAAGAGAATCTTGGTTCAAAGCCATCCTCAGCAGTAAAGTCCATGAGACTTATCAGTAATTAAGCAGCAAAAAGCCAGAAGTGGAGCTGTGAGTCAAGTGGTAGAGCACCAGCCTTGAGCAGAAAATGGTGAGTAGAATGAGAGGCCCTGAGTTCAAGCCCCAGTACCAGCACACGTGCGTGCGCGCGCGCACACACACACGTATGTGCTCAAATTAATTTTTGGTTAAAACGTCAACTTAGTCATAGGATCTAGTTGAAAATGGCCAAACGGAATTAGGTGACAGAAAACAGAAGGAAAAGGAGAGGGTGCTTATCATTGCTTTTTTTTTTTTGGTACCAGTCCTGGGCCTTGAACTTAAGGCCTAGACACTGTCCCTTAGCTTTTCCTTTCAGTGCTCTATCTCTTGAGCCAAAGCTCCATCTCCTGATTTTTTTTGCTTGTTAATTGGAGAAAAGATTCCCATGAACTTTCCTGCTTGGTCTGGCTTTGAATCATGATCCTCAGATCTCAGCCTCCTGAGTAGCTAGGATTACAGGTGTGAGCCACTGGCACCCAGCATTGCTTGATTTTTTTTTTTTGATGATAAAGAGAAAATAGATTGATGCATATTTTATTAAATGTTATTATTAAGAAAATCAAATATGGAGATATGATTTCCAAAAGTACAAAGGAAAAATTGGATGAAAAAAAAAGAAGAGTTTCACTATTAAAGTGCCTGTTAAGAATAACCACAAACGGTGTGGTACTGGTGGCTCAAACCTGCAATCCTAGCTACTCAAAAGGCTGAGATTGGAGGCTTACAGTTCAAAGTCAGCCTGTGCAGGAAAGGCTGTGAGACTCCTATCTCCAATTAACCACCAAAAAGCTGTAAGTGAATCTGTTGCTCAAGTGGTAGAGTGCTAGCCTTGAGCACAAAAGCTCAGGTATAGCACTCAGGCCTTGAGTTGAAGCCTCAGGACTAGCGCATCTGTGTGTATGCACAGGAATGCGCGCACACACACACACACACACACACACACACACAGAGGAAAGTATTTGAAATCAGAAAAGTCATGAGATTACAATAATAAAACATATAGGCTACTACTAGCCAGAAGTGGAGCTGTGGCTCAGGTGGTAGAGCACTAGACGTGAGCACCAAAGCTCAGGGACAGTGCCAGGACTGGCACACAGACACATAGCCACACAGACACACAGACACAGGCACACACACATACACACATACAAAACCCCACAAAACAAATCTAAGTGAAACTAAATTTATCAGGCCCATTAATAAAGTGATTGTTATAGACTCTTATTTTGAGCTCAGGGCCTTGCACTCTTGCTTGGCTTTTTCCACTTACAGGTGGTGCTCTACCACTTGAACCATAGCTCCACTTCTGGTTTTTGCTGATTAATTGGAGATAAGAGTCTCATGGGCTTTTCTGCCTGGGTTTTGAACCTGAACCACAGTCTTCAGATCTCAGCATTCTGAGTAGCTAAGATCATAGGCACAAGCCCGGGTGACCAGCTGGTTCTTTCTGATCGGTTCTTTTTGATCATGGAGGAACATATGTGTTCCTTCCATGATGCTGCCTGTGGTCCATTCTCATCAGTGCCAATGGAGCACTCTAAGCAGTAACTTTGTCCATGGTTTTTTGTTGTTGTGGTGGTCTTGGGGCTTGAATTCAGGGCCTGGGCGCTGTTCCTGAGCTTTTTTTTTTTTTTTGTCTCTCTCTTAAGGCTAGTGCTCTACCACTTAAGCCATGTTTCTGCTTATGGCTTTTTGCTGGATGGAGAAGGAAAAGTCTCATGGGCTTTCCTGCCCAGGCTGGCTTTGAGCCATGATCCTCAGATCTCAGCTTCTTGAGTAGCTAGAATTACAGGTATGAGACACTGTGCTTGGCCCATTGTGTTTTTAGGAGCTGAATTCCCAGGCTGTCCTCATACAGATAGTGGAGACTTGGACAAAAAGAACAGGGGCTGGAGCTTGTCAGCTGCCAGATGTCTTCAGCCATCCGAGTCTCCTTGTCTTGTTCCAGAGTGCTTTCTTTCAGAGGATTTCACTTCACACTCTATGTGCACACACCTATCACACATGGATGGGTTCTTCTTGTGAACACTTTTGAATTTAAAACTTCCACTAGTCATTTACAATCGCATGATTTCATCCCAGCCAGCAGTGAGATTTTTGTTCTCCAAATATGGACTCATTGGGTGGTCACAAATATAGCGGGCTGGGGGAGGAAGTGGAGAGTATCCGTGCTGGGTTATTCCAGGGGAAGCTTGGGAGGAAGCCAGCCCGCGGAGCCGTGCTATTTCAGGAAAGTCAGGGAAGGTTTGCTGGGGCAGGAGGCTGGGCTACAGGCTGGGCTTGGTGGCCTTCATGTTATAGCTTCAGGCAGGGAGCTGCCAGAGCTGCCAGGTTGCAGTGTTTAAATACTTAGCTATGGAAGAAGGTGTGTGTGTGTGTATGTGTGTGTGTGTGTGTGTGTGTGTGTGTGAGCGCACGCGCCTAGGCACATGTGCACATGTGCATCCATAAACCCTAGTTAGTGAGGAAATGTAAGCCCTTGTGGGGGGGGGGGAGAGACAGAGAGAGGGGAAAAAAGGAAGAGAGAAGGGAAAGAGAAAGAATAGAAAGAGAAGAGAGAAGAGGAGAGGAGAGAAGGAAGGAGGGAGGAGAGATAGAGAGAGAGGGGGGTGGGTGAGAGATTCCTCAAGAGTCTCCCAGGGAAAACTAGTAAGAGATTGTACATCTTTTGCAGCAAGTCAAAATCAGCAGGTTTTTTATAACAAACTTGCTTTAGGAAGGTGTGTACAATAGCATGCGCAACAGACAAGACAGTAGCTGGCACCAGTGGCTCACGCCTGTAATCCTAGCTACTCAGGAGGCTGAGATTGAAGGATCCTGTTTCAAAGTCAGCCCAGGCAGGAAAGTCCATGAGATTCTTATCTCCAATTAACCAGCAAAAAGCTGGAAGTGGAGTTGTAGCTCATGGGGTAGAGCACCAGTGTTGAGCAAAGAAGCTCAGGGACAGTGTCCAGGCCCTGAGTTCGAGCCCCAAGGATGGCATTAAACAAAAGAGAAGAGATAGTGCCAGGTCTGGGATGGATGGATTGGAGGCTGCTAGGGGCCATCCTGGGAGAGGTAGGAAGCCTCAGGAGGAGACACCAGGACCTCTGGCACTGGTGATGAGAATTGGAGATAAAATTTAGGCATGAACCTTTGAATCTGTTTAGAATTACCCATGGGCTGCTGGATTTTTTGGTTTAGATGCTGCTAAACTAGAACAGTTAGACAATTGCATCTAAAAATGTGAAACATGGGCTCTTTGTCAAGTCAGTCTAGTTGTCTATAGTGGATGACCACAGAGTTCCGTCACTAAGCATGTCATCTTCGACGTGTGTGTGTGTGTGTGTGTGTGTGTGTGTGTGTGTGTGTGCGCGCGCGCGCGCGCTGCTACTGGAGTTTGAACTCAGAGCCTGGGCACTGTGTCTTAGCTTTTTTACTCAAGGATGGTGCTCTACTACTTAAGCCACAGCTCTCCTTGTTTTTTTAGTGGTTCTTTGGAGATTAGAGTCTCACAGAGTTTCCTACCCAGAGGCTGGCTTCTAAGCACAATCCTCAGATCCTGGCCTCCTGAACAGCTTGGATTAAACCTGCACCAGTGCTAGGTTCACGTTGAACACTTTCAATCAATGGGTGGGATGACCCCATGGGAGACATTTACCTAACAGCCCAGTACCTTTGCAAATGGGTCCCATGTGGAGAGAATAGTCTTGTGTGGAAGCAAATTTGACAAAATGACAAATGAAGCTAAGATTCACAAGGCTAAAGCTTCCAGGAATAAAGAAAAAAAATGTGGAAATTAATTCCAGAAGTCATTTTCATTTCGTAAGCATGAGGTGGGAGAACTGTGGAAACTGTGTGACTCTCATTAAGTGAGTGGCCTGGTGGAGAGCCAGGACTGGCTCCCCAGCAAGCCCCAGGAGTGTTAGTATGGACCCCTCTCCCTCAGCCCTGAGGATGGAAGGCTCCAGAACATTCCACTGCTAAGGCACCCTCCAGGAGAAGCGTGTAGGTGGGGAGTCCTGAGTGGAGAGGGCTGGGTCCATGGGGAACTCTGAGCATCCAGCAGGAAACTCAGAAGACAAGACTGGAAGGAGGTTTTGGGCGGCCTGGTATAGTCAGTCAACCTGCACTGCTCTACCCTTTAAGCCGCACCTCCACCTGTGGCTTTTTGCTGGTGGACTAGAGATAAAGAGTCGCTCCAATTTCTCTGCTCAGGCTGGTTTGAACCACCAACCCTCAGATCTTAGCCTTTTGAGTAACTAGGATTACAGACATGAGTCATTGTGCTTGGTGATGAATATTTTTTTTTGAATAAATGAATTCATGTCTAGCAATTTTAGATATTTCCAGGAAAAAGCTGACTCATCTTTGAATAAGAGCTGGGTACTTTTCCTTCCTCTGGGACCAAGGACATGGCTCCATGACCAGCTTTTCCTGTCTGAGAAGGCCTGAGGACAGCTGCCATTTTCCTTTGAGTAAGAAGCAGGACTCTGAGTGAGACTCACTGCTGCTCCAGCACACAGAGCAAGCCACATGCCTCATCCCAACAGGTATTGCTCAAATGATATGGTTTCAATTTTTTTCAAGTATTTTTTAAATTGTGATAGAACCTGAAGTGGATCATTCATAATATTTTAAACTTAAAATCCTTTTTTTTTTGAGGCAGGGTCATATGATAATCTAGGTTGGCTTTGAACTTGAGGTTGTCTTCCGTCAGCCTTCCAAATCTTGGAATTGAAGGTATATGCTACCAGGCTCCTCATTGGCATCTTAATTATTTTTAACTACACAGTTCAGTGGCACTAAGTCCATTCACATTTATAAGTCTTTCTTTTTTTTTTATTTTTTGAGACTAAATCTTGCTCTGTAGGCTAAGTTGTCCTTAAATACGTGATCTTCTCCCTCAATCTCTCTTTCCCTCTCTCAATCTTTCTCTTTCTGGTACCAGTCCTAGGGCTTGAACTCAGGGCCTGAGCATTCTCCCTTGGCTTTTTCCACTCAAGGCTGGTATTCTACCACTTGAGCTATAGCTCCCCTTCTGGATCTTTGGTAGTTAATTGGAAGTAAGCCTGCCTGGCTTTAAACTGGAATTCTCAGCGCTCAGCCCTTGAGTGCCTAGGATTATAAGCATGAGCCATCAGCTCTTAGTTTGCCTTACTCTCTTGAGTTCAAGTGGTTCAAGTGGTTGAGTGCCAGCCTTGAGTGAAAAAGCTGAGAGTGCCCTTGCCCTGAGTTCAGGTCTCAGTACTGACACTCATGCATATATTCATAGATACATATAGCCCCCCCCCCCACACACACACAGAGTTAAACTGAGCAAGTTGAATTTAAGTAAAAATAAAATTATGAAAAAGGAAAAGTTAGTGAAGAAGCATCTGCAAATAAGAGATAAACCAAATCAAAACTAGTTTTTGAAAAGACAAGATTCTAGAACAGTATATTCAACCAGTAAGGTTGACTGACCACAGAGAAAAGCAGAGATTCCCAGGATTTGGAAGGATAGAGGAGGATGGACAGGGATCACAGGAGGTCAGATTTAGGTGAATGTTTTTCCTGACCATCTTTCCTTTGGCAGCTCTCTAGTAGATGGCCAGTCTACATAGATGGAGGAGATGGCTGGGCTGGGAAGAGGCCAGACTAGGAGCAGAAGGCAGTTATGAGGAGGATGGCGGAAAGAAATGATAAGAGAAACAGAGAAAAAGAAGAAACAAGGACTCAAGAAACATTTGGGGTTAGAGCCCGTGCGGAGGTGGCTCTGAGCGCTTCGTCTCTGCGGCTCAGCATCGGGTGCACCGGCCCGGCCGGAAGGCGCCCGAGGGTTGGCAGGTTCAGTGGCAGCCGGGCGAGCGGCGACAACAGGCAGGAGTCCTGAGCGACAGCGGCGAGCAGAACTACGGCGAGCGGGTATCCCGTTCTGCTTCCAGAAGTGGAAGTGCACATGGATCGGGGAAGTCTGCAAGGCATGCCCCTGCAAGGTCTCGCTCCAAGGAAGACTCCAGGCGCTCAAGATCAAAGTCAAGGTCCAGATCTGAATCTAGGTCTAGATCTAGAAGAAGTTCTCGGAGGCATTATACAAGGTCACGGTCTCGATCCCGCTCCCATAGACGTTCCCGTAGCAGGTCTTACAGTCAGCCACAGCCACTCTCCTATGGCTACGCGAAGGCGTCATGTTGGGAATCGGGCAAATCCTGATCCCAACTGTTGTCTTGGCGTGTTTGGTTTGAGCTTGTACACCACCGAAAGAGATCTCCGAGAAGTGTTCTCTAAATATGGCCCCATTGCCCATGTGTCCATTGTGTATGACCAGCAGTCCAGGCGTTCCAGAGGATTTGCCTTTGTGTATTTCGAAAATGCAGATGATGCCAAGGAGGCTAAAGAACGTGCCAATGGAATGGAACTTGATGGACGTAGGATAAGAGTTGATTTCTCTATAACAAACAGACCACATACCCCAACACCAGGAATTTACATGGGAAGACCTACCTATGGCAGCTCACATCGCCGTGATTATGACGACAGAGGCTATGATCGAGGATATGATGTTCGGGATTACTACAGCAGGTCATACAGGGGAGGAGGTGGAGGAGGAGGTGGATGGAGAGCTGCACAAGACCGGGATCAAATTTACAGAAGAAGGTCACCTTCTCCTTACTACAGTCGAGGAGGATACAGGTCACGTTCTCAATCTAGATCTTATTCACCACGTCGTTATTAGAGCATGAAGTTGGAAAGTTTCTGAAACCTGCCATAGAGCTGGAATATTGTTTGTTGACAATATTTTTTATTTGTTTAAAAAGTGAACAGTGCCCAGTGGAGTTAGGTGACTTTTACACCTTTTATGATGACTACTTTTGGTGGAGTTGAAATGCTGTTTTCATTCTGCATTTGTGTAGTTTGGTGCTTTGTTCAAGTTTAAAGTTAAGTGTTTTCAAAAAAGTATGTTTTGCATGTATTTTTTTTTACAGTCTAAATTTTGACTGCTAGGAAGTTTCTATTGTACAAAACTTCATTTAAAAGGTTTTTCTACTGAATCCAGGGTATTCTGAAGATCGAAGCCTGTGTGTAAAATGTTACCAAATGGCAAAAAGCAACAATAAACAGTTTGATTTTTACTTTTCTTTCTAATGCTTAGGAAAAACCAGAATAAGTTCTCAGTAGTAAATTTAGAGGCAAAATACCTGTTTTCCTCCAGTCCATGAAACATACCATATTTAATATACCTGCAACTGTTAAAAAAAAAACAAAAAACGCTCTGTAACTCTGTACTGCTAGTATTAGAAGTTAAAAATTACAATACAGCAAATGCTTAATGCTTATATAAATGTGGATTTGTCAACCTTTACGTAATCTGTATTATATATACATGTATAGCAGGGAATAAGAGAAGAGTTACAGATGGATGCCTTTTAAAGGCTGTTGTTAAAGCTTGTTACAAGGGGATAGGATAATGGTATTTCAACTAGTTGTCAGTGAGTATACTACATTCCACCAGAAATGTACTTTTGTTCTTCTAGCGTTAGATTATGAAAAAACTAAAACTGGGTGCTTCAAAGTATGGTATAAGGGAACACTACACCTGTGACATGGATGAACTGATGATTGATTGCCTGTTCATTTTTTAAATATTATTTTCAGGTCCTTTGCTTACCAAAGGAGACCCAAGTTCACTCAAATGTTTTGAGAACTGTGTTTAAATAAATGTAAATGAAGAAAAAAAAGAAACATTTGGGGGAGGGGAGTAGATGAATGGAGAGAGGAAGGATGTGTGAATGCAGTCATAATAGTCAATGTACATATGAAAATGGAACCAGGGAACATGGAGGGCTGGGTGGGGTTGGGAAAGATGGGAGAGAATGATGGAAGGCTGACATGGACCAAGATGCATTGCACTCATAAGCTGCTTTGTCCAATGGCAATTCCCTCTACAACTCAAAAAAGATGCGTTGTACTATAAAATAACGGTTGAATGAAAACCCCTTTGTACAACTACTTAAAGATAATAATTTTTAAAAACAAGAGAAATTTGGATAATAGAATGACCAGGCTTTAGTCAAGGAGTGAAAAGTCTGCTTTGAAGACAGATGTTGCACTAATTTAGACCATGAATACTTAATGTAATTCTTTTTCTTTTTTTTTTTTTTCTTTTTTTGTCAATCGTGGAATTTGATCTCAGGGCCTGGGCACCATCCCTGAGCTGTTTTGCTGTTTTTTTTTCCTCAAGGCTAGCGATCCACCACTTTGAGCCACAGCTCCACTTCAGGTTTTCTGGTAGTTAATTAAGAGTCTCATGGCTAGCTATGGATTGGGGGGGGGGGATCTTCAAATTTCAGCCTCCTGAGTATCTAGGATTACAGGCATGAGCCACCAGTACCCAGCTGTAATTCTTCCCAAAGAAGAAACAACACTGGAGTGAAAATAATCACTTTTCAGAATATTCTGGGAATGCAACAAAGTCCCAAAGGAAGGTGAAACTTGGAAAGAGACCCTAGCTGGAAGCTAGAGCCCAGATCTCAGGATGTAGTGGCTACCCACTTCAGAAAGGCAGAAAGGAGATGGCAGGGTGTCTGTGGGCCTCTGAGCAGAGTACATCTGTGTGTCCCCCAACCTCTTCCTATGTATGAGCCCTAATGCCACACCCCTGGGCCAGAAGAACAGGTAAGTGGAACATGTTGGCACTGGGAAGAGCCATACCCCTGACCTGCCATGTATGGCTCCTGACTCCCCATGGACAATTTCAGAGGCTGTCTACTGCAGATAAGACCTTCTTACAAGTCAGCACCTTTTCCGCAAGAAGAGTTGCATGCAGATGGCAGCTGTGGCAGGTGGGACCCAGAGATGAGGAATTATTATGACTGCCAGGACCAAGTTGAGTCTGGCTGGCAAGATCAGCTTGCTGGAGGGACTGAGGAATAGTTAGACAGTGATGGTCATGTTCCTTCAACTTCTGTCTCAGTGCAGTGTCTGCGGGGGGTATGATGTGAGAAGGGTGTGTGACTTGTCTGCCATTGAGGTGAGAGTTAGCTGATCACCTATGCTGGCTGCCCAGGCCAGGGCTGTTACTTTGAGCCACTGGTGCTGTAGGGGGCACAGGACAGCAAACACTGAGGGAGTGTTGCAGAATTCACCTTCATCAGGGATCTCTTCTCAGGCTCCTGTTCTGCCCTCATTAGGCTGTGAAGTCATTTCTGGGTAATTTATTCCCATTCCCTTGCTCTCCTGAAAGGACACAGACAGAATGGCTGGCTCTCTCCCAGCATAACCCTGCTCATCAGCAGCAGTGTTAATGTTTTAAGTTGAATCTTATAAGTGCCTTGCATTAAAAAAAAAAGGGGGTGAGGGTTCTGGACAAATTGCACACAGTATTTCCAGCCGCACCTATTACTTCTCTATTTGTCTTCACATTTTGGCTCCTTTTTCTTTGAGATAAGTCTCAGGAACCCAGAGAGACACATAAATTATCTGGCTCTTTTATTACTCTGCTTCTCATAATAGGTTACATTGTGTGACCTGACCATATCTTTCCCAGGAAATTTATGTTGTGGCAAGAAGAATTCCTTCTAACAGAAACAGTCCACTGCAGGGGAAGTTTATTAAGCATATTTATGGTTAATGATAGTGTTTTGAAATAGAATGGACAGATGAGGAAGGAGGCGAGTTTGGAGATAGGACACTCACCTGGGTCTGGAGCCCTGGCACCTTCTTACATGGAAGCAATGAAGACATTTCTCTTTTCCTGAGCAGAATTCTGTCCATTACAAAATAGATGGACTGCTGGCGCCGGTGGCTCATGTCTGTCATCCTAGCTACTCAGGAGAAGCCTGAGATCTGAGGATCGTGGTTTGAAGCCAGTCTGGGCAGGAAAGTCTGTGAGATTCTTATCTCCAATTAACTAGCAAAAAATTGGAAGTAGACCTTTGGCACAAATGGTAGAGCACAGTCTTGAACAATAAAGATTGGGGCAGTGGCTAGGCCTGGAGTTCAAGTTGCAAGACCAGCAACACACACACACACACACACACACACACACACACACACACACACACACACACACAGATGGCCCATCTGCCCTGTGATCTAGGAATCTAGATCTATACAATCTTTACAAGTAAAGAATCGCAGGGCTTTGAGACTTTAGCCCTTCATTCACCAGTCGTTAAGGTGACAGATGGCTTAACCTCATCCAGCACACAAATCCAAGCGTAAAAATAAATTGGACTCTGACTCTGTGAAGGATCATGTCCTCTGTGTGTGTGTGTGTGTGTGTGTGTGTGTGTGTGTGAGAGAGAGAGAGAGAGAGAGAGAGAGCGCCTGACTCCCACACGTCTATCTCTGACCCACTCTGAGAACACCGTGAGGTTAAAAGCACACTAAGTGGCGAACAGTGGCCATCTGTTAGCAAGAAGGCGCCTGCCATCCATCACCTCCCTGCAGAGCCTCCCTTTCTAGTTGGGGAGACACATACCAGTCTTGCTCAGGGATCCGCGCTCTTCCAGCTCAAGCCCCCAGACAGTACAGACAGGAAGAAATGATTCTCAATCAGGAATGACACCTCAGTCCTGAAAGCTTTTTCAGCACTGGGAGCCAGGCTCTGGCCCTCATGTGTCTCTCTTGCTGGGATGCTGAGTGAATTCCACCCTTGGCATGTTTGGAGGAGCCAGCAGTAAATTCCTCCTCATCCCCTTACACAGGGGTTCCCCTGTAGAAGTACTTGTTGCCTGGATTTTGCAGAAATCTGTGTGGTGATCTGACACACATGCTTCTGCCAGCTCTGAGCGCACAAGATCAAGCAAGTGGTGATGATTTTTTTTTTTTTTTTTTGGTGCCAGTCCCGGTGCTTGAACTCTGGATTGGGGTGCTGTCTCTGAGCTTTTGTGTTCAAGGCTAGTGATCTACCACTTAAGCCACAGCCCTGCTTCTGGGTTTTTGTTGGTTCACTGGAGATAAAATCTCATGAACTTTCTGCTCAGGCTGGCTTTGAACCTTGATCCTCACATCTCAGCCTCCTGGGCAGCAGCTAAGATTATATGTGTGAGGCACAGGCATCCAGCTGAGTGGTGATTTTGACCTCAGGTGCAAAATGGCTCCCTAGCTTCCATGCTGGAGATACAAGCAAGCTGCATAGAAATCAGTGGGAATGTGAACTATATAGCTTTAACCCCAGCATCAGTAGGATTATTAATTGTTGTGAGTTCTAGGAACTGCTCCTGGAGAGGAAGCTCAGGGTAGGCTGTAGCATCCATACTATGGATTTGCTGCTCTGATTCAGCTTCTTACTGCCCAAGTCCCAAACTTCTCCATTCCCCTGTTCCTAATATGGAAGCAGCAAGCAATCTCATCCCTGTATTGAAGGCAGGTGGCCATTTGGAAAGCTTAGTCCCTCAGAAATCCAACTGCACATGTCTATCAGATACACGACAGCCTTTGGCTATGGAGATCTATGAACTGGAGTGGAAGTAATCCTTGATGTGATTTCTTAAACTTGTATAGTAATTCTTTCATGACTACAATTAGAGGTGCTTTTTAAAAATAGATTATGCAGCAGGAAGTGGCTCACAGCTGTAATGCTAGCTATGCTGGAGGCTGAGATTTGAGGATCTCAGCTCTGAACTGTGCTTTGAGGATCGTGGTTCGAAGCCAATCTGATTAACAAAGTCCTTGAGACTCTTATCTCCAATTCAGCAGCAAAAAGCCAGAAGTGTTATATATATATATATATATATATATATATATATATATATATATAATCAATTAAACTAAAGTATGGTATATACATGTGTGAGA